CTGCCTCAGCCTCCCAAGTAGCTGGGACCACAGGTGCCTGCCACAATGCCTGGCCATTTTTTGGTTGCAGCCGTCATTGTTGTTTGGGGGGCCCGGGCTGGGGATTCGAACCCGTCACCTTAGGTGTATGTGGCTGGCGCCTTAGCTACTTGAGCCACAGGCGCTGATCCTATGTACATATTTTATGTATTTCAAAGTAACAAAATAATGTTTTCATTTTGATCCAAGAGTTTTTGCCTTTCCAGAAATGTTTGCCCACGGTGGTGCTGTCCTCCTGGGCAGGGATGCCGATGCACCAGCCTCACTCTGCACAGCCTCCCCCGCCAGAGGCCTCTTCTCCTTCCCTCTCATCAAATCTGACCATTTTTTAGGCCACTAGTTCTTGGCTTTGGGAAAGTCAAAGACCTCTTTGGAAATGTGCAGGAAACTATGAAACCCCCTTCCCCAGAAAAATCACGCAGATCCACCTGTTCACATAAATTTGGTGCAGAACTTAAGAAGTTCCCTTCCAGATCACAAGCCCACCCAGCACTAGACACCCCTGGTCTGCAGCTACCTGTGGCAGATGGTCCACGCTATCAGCACACTGCACATCCCACTTGGCCTGATTCAGAGTTTCTGTGTTAGCACAGCTTCACAAACAGACTGCGTACATCCCAAATGACTTTACTCCCTGTGGTGCCTGAGCACTGAATGGTCAGAACTCCACTTGTTAGATGTGGATGGATACCCAGCAAGCAGCTATGCAGCAAGGTTCGGTAACTGTACAGTGGGTGTTGGAGTCCTGGATCACAAGGGGCCTGCTAGCAGTCCACAGCTAGGGACAAGAGGGCTCAGGCCACCAGGTGGAGGGCAAGGCACTACCAGGCTGCACCTGCTCGCCGGGGAAGCGGGGGTTGGGGGGAATAGGGAGGAGCCTGTGGCATCCTCAGGGCACACTGTTCCTTCGGAGCCACTTTATTTCTAAATGCCTCAGAAAGGTTTAAAACAGTGGTTCTCAACCTTCCTAATGCCGTGACCCTTTAATACAGTTCCTGTGAGTGGCGAACCACAGGTTGAGAACCACTGGTTTAGATACAACACATGTCTATTTTATTCCTATTTCCTCTATGGTTAGGAAAGGCACCAGGCTTTTCTATCTAAGCAAGACCCAGTGGGTTGGGACCTAGAGACCTGACGCTCACAGGCAGGGCACACGTTGGATGCTCACAGGTAGTCAGCAAGCAAGACTGGACCAGGCACAAGGTGTACAAAGCCCAGATGGAGAAACGGGATTAATGTGTGTGTGCTCTGGAGGCTCCATCATTGAGAGAAATGCTTGGGTACTCACCGGTACTTGAGTAATTCTGGAGAATACTTTGACTTGGCTTTGAAGATCACCTGCAAAGACAGAAGAACACAGCAGGTTGGGGGTGCAGTACGCTGACACCAACCAACTGGTAACGTCACTTGGGATTCCTCTCTCCTTTTATACCCAGGTGCTGGGGCACTTTCTCTGCAAGTCAGGTCTACATTTTGTGAGAACGTTTGTTATGCCAAATGCTTTTGTATGCTGCGTACACAAGTTTAAAAGTAAAGATCTTTTTTAACGGTTAAAAAAAAAAAAAAAA